AAACAAACAAACAAACAGTTTTATCTAAACCCTCCACGAGTGAATAGTTTTACCTAAACCCTCCAAGAATGAACGGTTTTACCTAAATCCTCCACGACTTGGATTCAAAAATACCTTTGATATCCACAGTTCACTGTAATCAATAAAACTATAGATAAATTGTAATCAGTGATGAATAGAAACATTTATTGAATAAAATACTTCCCACTTGTACGATTATTATCACATTTTAAGGATTTTTTAAAAATCGTATTGCAGGTTCTTTTTTTAAAGATAGGCCGAGCGAGGCCTTGTGGTTCAGCGAGATCGGATTGTGAAACCGAAAGTTCATGGTCTCAAAGACGCACTCCACAGTTTGAGATCCAGGATGCGCTATAAAAGTGACAACCAAATCCCACTATTCGGTGAGAAAAAAGTAGCCCAAGAGTTGGCGGTGGGTGCTATCGACAAGCTGCCTTTCCTGTAATTTATCACTTCAAAATTAGGAATGGCTAGCGCACAAATCAACAAAACAATGACGTCAATGAAATTAAGATGAGAAATATTTAATCTTGGTTTTATCATTTCTAGAGTGAAGGCCATTTTATTACCATTATTATTATTAAGTCTTTGCTCAGCAGGCCGTAACTTATTTATCCAATTTATCTGTTTTTGTTTTGTAAGAACAGGATACTAAGTTATCTATATTCGTTGGGATAATTTTCAGCTCTTATCTATGCGGATAGCTGGCTTTGATCAGAAGTTAATGATAATTTATTCTTTGTTTCTCCATTTAATTAAACTGTATATGTTGAGGACTGATTTTACTATACTATCGTAGTATTAATCTCAGCAAAGAAAAACGCTCAATTGGCTTTTAAGAATGTTCCTTTAACCCTCCACTCTGTCTCTCTATAGATGCATAACTCACTCTTCTAGTGACAGGTGTATTCGTAAATACTTGCTGTTCTGTGATTACTTATAACCCGACTATTACTCCACATATCAACGTGATTTTTAGTTTCTTTTATATAATTCCCTGAAGTATTTACCAGGTGATTATTTTGTTGTTTTAAACAAATTTCAATGTTCGTGACTTTTGTGAACTGCATCTGCCTTACAAGTTTTTGGACGACGTTTCGAGCTTCTAAAAACTTTTGAGGCAGATGCAGTCCACAGATATCTCTATTCAGGAATATTATGTTCTCTTATTGAAAGAAGTAATAGATGCGATAATTATTTGTGTATTTATCTCCAGAATTTGCAAATTAATATGCAAGGTTTGTAAGTTTTTAATTAATTATAAAATATCAGTTTTATTTCACACCCATTTTCAGGATTAATACTTGTTTAATTATCAAACTCTTCAAGACTAAAACGAAGATTACATAATAAAAAGGATAACGATACTTAAGATGAACAACATTGTTTATAACAGAAAGGGACGCAGATAAACGTTTCGGAATTCTACAGATTCCATATTACGTTTCGTTATTCTTTTTATTGTCAAACATCGTTTTCCTTCGAACACATCAATTAAAGGTTAAATAGTTTCCATATTTGTTAGACCGGCACCTGGTGACGAATCACAACCCAAGGTAGAGATCATTTCAGGTGTTTTTGGGACCGAATAAGTCCTAATACATCCTTCTATGGTGACTACATCATTGGTAATGTGGTAAAATAAAAACAAGATGCTGGCTGTTTTACAGGTAACACACTTAAAATTAATATCAGAAAAGTTAAGGATGGTATTAGGACAAAGGAGAGCAACTAAAGTTTTAAACATAAATGGTATTGATGCGTTGGACGTGATCTGTGTTTTTAGTTAATAGGTCACAATGCGAGGTAATACGATCTCGTGATATTATAAGAGGTTAAATATAATCATGCTTTGAGTTGTTTGCGTTTAAATGTCTGAAGAATGTGTTCCACCTGAGCTAAAAGTGTCCAGATTATGTGCTAGTTTTTGTTGTTGTTTTTTACCAATTGCATTTAATCTATATCATACTGTTAGGTTTTGGCGGGGTATCACAAATGTATGGGCTTTGTCGGACATTCTGTGAAAATGCCAACTGACGGTGCAGAACTCTGTTTTCTGCATACCTGTGCAATTTAAACATTTATAGAAAGCTTTTTGTTACCCCCTCTTATATTAAAACACCATATTTTACGATACTTTCATAGGTAGAAGAAATATGTGAACAATCATTTGTGTCTGTATCTTTCACGGGTACACATTTTAGGGAAATCAGCAGTATAAGCCATAAGCTTTCTCAGTAAAGAGCATTTTCAGCAACTACTAATATTTTACGTGAAAGTACCGCTTCTGTGGAATGTCGCTTTTGTATTATACCATTACATCCAGCCTGTAACAATCTCGTACATAATTTTGATTATGATTTCAAGAGAAATTTCTATTATATAAGGCATTATTTACTGCATTATAAATATTGATAATAATTAATGTACAGGAAATAGGAGACACGCTATTGTTGCTCCATAAAAAGCACAAGGGTTATGACAATACTTCGATGGCATGCACAAGATTCAGTTCACGATAGGTCATCAACTTTATACTGACATGTGCTTTAAGTAAAAACTGGCGCTCCACATTTGCAGGTTCTGGTGAGAGCTGACGCTCCACATTTGCAGGTCCTGGTGAGAGCTGACGCTCCACACTTGCAGGTCCTGGTGAGAGCTGACGCTCCACACTTGAATTCTGATGAGAGCTGACGCTCCACACTTGTGGTTCTGATGAGAGCTGACGCTCCACACTTGTGGTTCTGATGAGACTCGACACTCCACACTTGCAGATTAAGAGCTCTACAACTGCACCAGGAGTTTCATTAGAAACCCACATTTATCATGATGTCATACACCCCCTGTTAGTTATGGAACATGCTACACTCCGCCCAGACTTCATCTTCCTCCTCTGTGTTACGTTCACTTATATAGTTTTGTTTTCTCTGTTTTACATGGACTTATTTTTTAAATTCATAACACTAACAGTTTCTATATTATAAGATAGATGGTTTTAGGCAGTACCGTAATCTGGAATTCAAATGAATGTGAATTTGATACCAATTTTATGTTAACCCAAAGTGTAAAACTCTGTTCGTTGTCATCTGCCTTGCTACCATACCTATCTTTTTAAAACATTCAGATAAGTTACATCAAAAACAGCCTGTATTTTTTTTATTTTACCACATTACCAATTAATGTACTTACCCTAGAAAGAATGTATTAGGATCTAGTCTGTCCCAGGAATTGCTGTGAATATTACCTTTACCAGAGAATGGCTGAGCTTTTTCAAAATTTAAAGCTCTTTTTTTTTAATTCAGATAACATGTGCCCGTTGTAATGAAAGAATTAAATTTTTGATTTTTAGTCTTGGAAGAGTGTCAAGTGGTGAGAGAAAAAGCGCTCGAGACTCAGAGAATGTCCCCTCAGAGCGGTGTGTACATTCCCGAATGTAAAAAGAGTGGACGTTACAAAGATATCCAGTGCTTTGAGAATAAGGATAACGCCGTCTGCTGGTGCGTGAGTCCCACGAATGGTAAACCAATCCATGGCACTACTTATCATAGCGGACGACCACGGTGCAGAAAGATACGCAGAACCGCCAAAATGTTTAAAGGTTAGTAACCCTATATGTTGACGTACAATGTGATCAAAAATTAATTCAATTAATTTTTAGAAAATCAAGCTAAGTTCGCTCTGATACTTTCCAACTGAATCTCGTAAATAATTACTCATATACTTAAAACTATTAAAAATAAGATACTTAATTATATTTTATGACAATTGTAAGGTTAGCATGAATAAAAACTTACATAGTCGCTAGGCTTGAGCATCATTAAAAATGATTAAAATATTTTAAAATGAATTGCCACATTGAGATAACGTGCTTTCGTAGAACAAAAGAAGTGATTTGGCATGCAAGTAACATTATCTTAGATTCACGTTTATACTTGTCAGTCTTCGAACAACATAACCTGAGTAACTAAAGTACAACCCTAGTTGTAGCACTTACTAATGACCACATAAAATAATTCACGCATTTCCACGCAACAGTGTCAGTTGGCACCAGGTGCGCAGTCAGTATCTTTTAAGAAGGCGGCTTACTTTCGATGTACTAATTCCTAAATGATGTGATATAATTGATAAGAAAGTAACATAGCACTTATATCATTGGATAAATACTTGTAGTTTTAAAAGTTGTTGTATGGTACAACATGAGGTATTTTTATTTTTGCCTTATATTTTTAATTATTTATAAATTTATCTAAAGTTCTCATTTTATTTTATTATATGAAATATAGTCGTCAAGAAATTAATGTCGTGTTTTGGAACACTTTCATTAATCACCCCCAAAAATATACATCACGTATAATAGTGTTACGACAGCGGAAGTCACGTGACTCTGGTAACACGTAATGAGTATCTAGAAGGTTCCTGAAGGCTCGAGTGTTTGCCAGACGCCCTCTTTTTTGTATATATAAGACCGGCGAGAAGTGACGGCATAGAATAATTGCAGACAGGCAGAGACGGACATTTGAGTCAAGCGCGGTAGTGACCGTAAGTAAAGTGCGTGAATCGTTGTGAATTATAACGTGTGTTTAAGTTAAAGTGACTGTGTAAATTCTGTGCATTGCAAAGTTGTGTTGAGAAAGAATAAATTAGTTTTATTTAAGAAATGACTTGTATCACTGAAGTTCTTCGGAAATATTTTTTACGGGAAATTAACAAACGACCAGAGACGTAAAAATAGTCAAACGAACCGCCTAATCATTACGTTAGTGTAGCCTATATAATATGTAAAGTTTAGTATACTCTAATCCCTTATAGTGATGGTACACGACAAGACACACAATCGGCATGTAATGCTGTTTGAATACAAGATGGGGAAACAACGCCTCTCTAGCCACAAAGAATAAATATCAAAGAAGTTTGTAGAAATGTTTTGAACGTTTGTAAGTGTCAACGATGGTTCAGCAAATTTCGTTCAGGTGACTTGAGCCTTAAAAACAGTGGTGGCAGGGGCCGACATGTTGGAATTGATATTGATGTTCTGAAGACGCTTGTTGTGTCTAACCCAAAGCAGCAAACTCGTGAAATGGCTCTGAAATTGCATGTCTCTCATGAAACAACACGTAAACATCTTAGGCATATGGGAAAACTCCATAAAGAAGGTGTTTGGGTGCCTCACGATTTCTCCGGTGATCATCGTTTCCAACGTCTAAAAGTTGGTTCGTCTTTTCTGGCGTGTAATGCGCGTGAACCATTTTTGGACAGAATTGTCACCGGTAATGAAAAATGGATTTTCTATACGAATATTAAAAGCCAAAAACAATGGCTCAGTCCTAGACAAAAACCACTTCCGACCCCAAAACCTGGACTTCGTTCTAGAAAGTGATGCTTTACATTTGGTGGGACATCGAAGGAGTAATTCATTTCGAACTCTTCAATCCACAGCGAACTGTCAATGCAGAGATCTATAGGCAGCAACTGGAACATTTAAATCAAGCCCTTCATCAGAAACGCCCTTCACTCGTCAATCGAAAAGGTGTTCTTCTTCTCCACGACAATGTACGTCCACATGTGGCACGTTTGATGCAACACAAGATTATGGAGTTGGGTTGGGAACTTCTCCCCCACCCACCATCTTCTCCAGATATGATGCCATTAGATTACCATCTTTTTCGTTCGCTGCAACACCATCTTAATGGGAAAACGTATGCAAATATGAAAGGTGTTAAAAAGGACGTCGACATGTTTTTGCTTCAAAGACAAGTGATTTCTTTAATCAGGACATTAACAGCCTGATTGTAAGATGGAAAAGCATCATCGATAAAAGTGGAGACTATTTCATTTAATATATGTTTTGTTTTGATATATAAGTTGTTCGGGTTTTTTCATCTAAAAAATAGCGACATTAATTTCTTGACGACCTAATAGATACACAAGACGCATCATATGGAAATCGCTAAGCGTGGTAGTATAACTTCTCCGGGAGAGCGCCTAAGGCCGCCTGGAAGGGTCACCTGTTTTAATCACTCGCCACACTATACAGTAGTGTGTTGTCTGTCAATCAGTCAGTAGACATTAAATTGCGTCACATGAGGAACGCGTAACTTTGCAATTTGAACTGTCGTGACGTTGGTAAAACGTGCGCAAACGAGAAGAATTATGCTACAACACAGCATGACATATGAACTTGAGAAGCAACAAGTAAAAATATTTGTTACTCTTAATTTAGGTTTTATTTACTCTTGAAACAGAACACTCTCGGGGACCTGCAGGAATATATGTAGTATATAGGAGTTCTAGATTAAGAGCTGTCTTTAATTAACCCTAAGGATATAAGAAGATACCAAAAATATTTTTTTATAATAATTACTCTCAAAGACTCTATAGTCACCCACTGGGTCAACCGTAAGTTTACGGACTAACAGTGCTAAAATTCAGGGTACGATTCCTCGCGGTGGATAAAATACAGATAGACCATTGTACGACTTTTCGCTAAAATACACGAATAGAAGGCCTCTGTAATTTTGACAAGAAAATAACAGAGTTTATTTTTAAATAATATTTGACCATTATTATTAAAATACATAAAAAATAAATTACTATAAATAAATCAAAATTAATAGAACTTTACAGTGTAGCTAGAACAATAATATGCAAAAGAAGAAGTCATTACTTATGTCAGTATTGCCCTATACACCCCTATGTTGGATTTGTGCGAGAGACCAAGATTACTCACAGTTGAAAGATTGAAACAAAGCTGTAAATGTCCGGTTATATTATAATGGTTATCGAGCGAAAGAAGCAAGTGTATTTCTCTTTGTTTTAAAGTAAGTCAGGTTAGAGATAAATACCCAACTGTCTAAATATGACTTTCCAACTACATCTTTTTTGTACAAATTTTAAAAGTTTATAGTTAAGGGGAGGGCTTGAACTCCCCAGCCCCCCTTTCGTTGCATTTATATTTGGTACAATCAGAGCTAGCACTGTGCTTCTTGTAGAATTAACTTAAGACTCCATAAAGAAAGACACGTTCATCGTCATCCGACAGTGTCTAGTACAATCAGTGTTACCACCGTTAAAAATATACATTAAAACGATCATTACCAGCGGTGTACTACCGTCCAAATGACATTCGATACGATGAATTGTTAAAAAAAAAAGACCAGTGTGAGTTGTGTGTTTTTGTAAGCCTTGTGAAGTTATAGCGGATTAAGAAGGCCAATGTAAGCTTTGGGATTATGTGAAGGATTAAGGAAATTATTGTGAATTGTGTGCTTTCTGTAAGTCTTATGGACTTATGAAGGATTAAGGAAACCATTGTAAGTTGTGTGTTTTTGTAAGCTTTGTGAAGTTATGACGGATTAGGAAGGCCAGTGTAAGACTTGAGATTCTGTGAAGGCTTATGGAATCCGTTGTAAGTTATGTGTTTTTGTAAGACTTGAGATTCTGTGAAGGCTTATGGAATCCATTGTAAGTTATGTGTTTTTGTAAGCCTTGTGGAGTTATGACGGATTAAGAAATCCATTTTAAACCTTAGGATTCTGTGAAAGATTAAGGAAACCATTGTAAATAGTGTGCCTTCTGTAAGTCTTGTGTAATTATGACGGATTAAGAAGGTCTTTGTAAGTTGTGTATTTTTATAAATGAGGTTAACTAGCTGCTTTCCCTTTAGTCCATTAGTTCAAAAATTAGGGACGACTACTGCAGATAGCCTTTTGTGTAACATTACAAGAATATCAAGAACAAAACAAACCAACATCTGAAGTCCTATTTGGAGCTTAATTCTCCTCCTCCACACCCCCCAAAAAGATACCAGACAAACCATTTAAACTTTCGACCTTGTACGGAAACATCTAGAAATACCTTGTTAGAGTATAGACAGAAATAATTAAAAGACGCAAAGTTTTTAGCGTAAAAATTGAATTTTTTCCTAGCTGTAATTATAGGCTTCTGTTAGCATGTTACAGCTGAATCTCCATCCCTGACTCCTAGCGGCAGCGTCTGGCGCCACCACGACTGCATTGTTGTTCAAATTAGTACCTACTCATGACATAACGTGACATCAACGTAGCAAAAATAATTAATCAGAACGGAATGCATGTAGTAAAGATGGCGGTTAGAGGAAGTTCTTAATTCAATGTTATATATATATATATGTTGATAAAAATAAACATAAGAACTTAATCATCTGAAGCCCTGGTTATGTTAGAAATGAAACCTAACAGGTGAAATGCAGTTTATAACGAAAACATTCAGGAAACAACGATAGCAGACCCACGTATTTCAGAACGACGCTCACATAAGTCTATTGTATAACGATTCTAGCCGAGATGAAATACTTAATAAAACAAGTGAAAGTAAAGTTACAAACCGTGTCATGCGAGTTAGAAAAACAAAAACGTATTTTCAAGATAAATACCACTGTAAAATGATACTTACGACAACACACCGTAATTTTACTTTAAAGCTAGTTCACTGTAAAATATGAGTGCCGAGATAATTTCTTATTTTACAGTGACCACAGTATATCTATAGCCCATCATTGGCAACTCTGCCTCCAGTGTTTCCACCACTAAAATAGGATAAAATGTGTAACGGTGAGAATGG